TCAAGACAGCAGAGAATTCACATTTCTCATGACACAGAGCGATCATATGGAAGTCACTCAAGTGCTTCTTCTACTTCACTCCTGAATAAGTGGGAATCGACTGTAGATACCGCTGGTTCAAGTCGCCATATCATGTCAAAAATCACATTCACAAAAACGAGGCGAGAACATTATCTCGAGAGTGTGTCGAGAAAGGCTGGAGTAGATACCGAAACTGCATCTCCCGAAAAAATATTCTGGTTCACGTGATGCATACATCGACCTTGCTAAACTAGAACCTGATAGGCAACGGATGGTTTATAGACATACAGCGATGAACGAGAGTGGCCAGGCGAGGGTTGTGCAGTAAGCCGTTCAGAGACATGCCGTATACAGCGGTGGAAGAGAGAATTCTCAGGCATGAAGTTTACAAGAGACAACCCGAGATATATTATATTGTTAACGGTCTGCAGAGAACTGTGGACACATGGAAGGTGTTGCCTCTCTCGAAATCATCGCCATTTTCACGCGTCAGCGCCACGATCCAAGACGGATGATATTTGGAGACCCACGAGAAGAAGTCATACTGCTCTGGATAAAGAATGCCGAGGATGAGTGAGATACTGGTGCTGCTCACTTCCCCTCCCTTATGAACTTCTGCCAAGCATATTGCTTGTCTACAGTCCAGAGTGTCTCTCCATAATGTTTGCACATTTACTTCAGTGCATACGTCGGTGTTATTGAGATAGTCACAATGATGAGATTTGAATCTACTTCAGAGTCGTAAGGCTCAGTCTGAGTCGCTTAGAAAAACGCAAGGCGGGACCTGGGCTGGAAGCCTAGCACTTTACTCCGCTCAGATTAACCATTCGAATGGAAATACTCCGTTGTCGTATCACTAAGCGACGACGGATTGTCACGATATTACGAGTACTTCGCTACATTAACCTGTGTGAGTTTCTTCACGCGCCACGGAAACCCACGAGTCTGTCTCACAGTTGGACTACAGGTTTGTGCGTCATCTCACTGCTATCGAGTTTCATAGAGGCTAGGAAACAAGAGAGTCGACTGTTCTTGAAAGCGATAGTCTCAAGTAAGAGGGACTCATTGATACGATCATATTCCACACCACATACGGACAGGTAGAAGTCTTATTGCAGCTACGTCGTATTGGGTAGCATTCTGGGTAGCACTCGCGATTGGTAGGAGCGGAGATTCAAAGAGAGATGATCAATGCTTGAGGAAGTATACTTCTAGATCCAGAATCATGAATATACACTAACACAGTCAGCGTTATAGGCATCAAAAGGTTTACGGCCTCGCCAGACGACTTGACACTGAGATGAAGACCTTTCGGCTCGATACAGAAACAAAAAGGAGTAGAAGATTCAATTTGATGAGCGAAGACATCGAGAAATACTTCGGGTTAATGTCTACTGGTGCGATGATCTCCACGAATAGTGCGGTATAAGTACTTCAGCCTTGAACACGAGCATGGCAAACGACGACGAACGGCAAACTTTCGATAGATGGTTCTCGCGGGTCATGGCTAAGCCGTATGATAAGGAAGAGTTGAGACAACAGATTGAGTTGAGGAAAACAGAAAATCTGTCACCCGAAAAGGTGAATAAAATGTCGTATGTCGTTAACGTACGATGCGTTCAGTGTGCTAAACTTACCGGGTCTGACAAGCCGAGGGTGGTGAGCAGACGAGAGGTCTCTAGCGTGAGTGAATTCCGGAGCCTCCGGACCGAAGGTGATGTGATTCGACATCAGAAGGTGTAGGTAGATGAACAGCAGAGAAGTGCCGATCCTAGTGTCGCATTGAGATACCAGCAGGAGATGTATGACCCGGAGCGAGAGCACAGCCGGCTGCTCGCGTGAGTCATTATGACATACCTATCACCTCGCTAGCAAAAGCGGTGATACTGCGTTCTAATAGGCTATGAGTAATAGCCAAGTAGGCCAGAGATCGTGGGCTATTAGCAATAGCCCACAATCTCTGGCACCACAGTATGTCTCAGACATACTGTGGTGCCAGAGATTGTGGGACATTACAGACATACAGACATTATGTCTAGACATACAGACATAATGTCTGTATGTCTACTTGGTGGATGAAGAATAAGTCGAGAGGCCTGATGTCAGATATGAAAATAAACGTAGAGGAATCGATGGGATGGACCAGCTGAAAGATAGAAGAGGTTCGTTGTATCAAGTATCATTGGTCGTTCTTCGTGGGGGGGGGATCTCAATGCTGCACGGTGTGGCTCGAACGGATGAATTTCATCAACATCCGGGGAGAATCTACGACAGAAAGCTCTGTCTCTCAGACCCAGAAGAGAGCTCATCGTTCTCCTCGTCAGCCCACGAGACTGGAAGTGAGGCGGGAAGCAGCTATAGTAGCGAGGAGGATGACGGGTGATTTTTTCGGACTCTAGCGTGCAATTGATATAATAAAACAATAGTAGAAGCGACTAGCACCAGAGGTCAACCCAGGTTTGTCACACTGCACTGAGAGCGCTCGGCTCGTTGAATAGTGTTGGGCTTCTAATGTCCAGCGAACGGCGATACGCACCTAGCGTGATCCTCCTATAATCCGATACGCTTTCATCGAAATGATTCGTTCGCCAGAAGGTAAAACGTCGAGACAAACCCTCTTGGGACTCCCGTATCG